CCTGCAGCTCCTCTTCAGCAAAGAATCCTTTAGTAAATATGGTGATGTTGCCTAATTTAGTTAACCCCCCTGGCGGTATTCCCGAGTGTAGCTCGGGGTAAAGTTTCAGCACCACAAGCGGTAACCCCGAGCTACACTCGGGGAATACCCTGCAGCGTTGCTTCGGGATCTCTTCACTTACCTTGTTCTGCGCTCCCGCGATGTCCCCCCTGCAGAGTCACCGGCCATCTCCTCCGGCCGATGCCGGCATCTGTCTTCCGAGTTCCATTCCCTGCGACGTATGGGGGACGGAACGGCAGGAAATTTGAAAGTTGTAAAAGTGACATTCACTAAATTCACTAAAATCACATAGTAAAACATTACTGTATCAAACCATTTCACATACATTTTGTCCATAATGCTTTGTCCTGTGCCCTGCCTGCATTTTTTACTGTTCTTTCTGCCTGGAAACTGAGAAATGTCCATGGCGTCCAAAAAGTGTCCCTTTACGTCAAAATCGGTTTTAGACCAGCTAGAGAACAGCAATAGTAAATCAGAACCACTTGCAGAATTGAGTGATAATGATTCGTGGGGAAATTCCTCATCAGACACTCATCAGACACTGGAAACAATTTTGCGACTCTGCTCAGCGATGTGCGAACTTGGTGCTATATTTCAAATTTCAGTGTTTTTGGTTTTGATTATATTATTGAATTACATTTATTATTATTATATTATTTTTTATGATTATTTATTAAATTATAATTTTAGGTTTCGTGTTTCAAATTTTATCATACCCGGGATGTTTACTAGATTCTTGTCCGGACAGATTTCAGTGAGTTATTCCTAAAAATTACAGTCCTACAACAAAAAAAATACATATTTCCATGCAAAAAAAAGTACCGCTTTGAGCACAGAAATATGGACATAATCAGACCGCTAGGGAGGTTAAGTATCATCTAAATTCTCAGATAAAATGATAGAAGGGGTATTGCTGGGCAGTGGATCTGCTTTTATTCCATTTAATATGAAATATCTTGCTATTCCATGCATACAAAACCAACTTAAAGATCAGTAGTTGCTGTCATTATGCATTTGCTAGGTCATGGCTTCTCAACTAGGGTTCCTCAGGAGGTTGCTAGGGGTTCCTTGAGCAATTAGCAATTTCTGTCCCCCAGATAAGTTCCCACTGACACCATTGATCTTTTTAGCTATCTGTAAGCGGGTAATTCATCCCAGTGACCACAAGTGTAAGGAGCATTCTTCTCACTGACCATCACACTAATGTATCAGGAGTTATAGATATAGTAGGAATTTGTAGCTGAGGGTCACTGAGACCGGAAAATCTTTTTAAGGTTTCCTCTGTATTGAGAAGATTGAGAAAGGCTGATATGGAGTCTGTATTTACTAAAGCAAATGAAAAACAGCAGGGGAAAGGTTAAGAAAGGCTGGGTTAGGTGTGCGCTTTTCCTTGATGTTTAGTCAGGAAGAACCAGCAAAATCATTTCATGCAATTATATTGGCTGAGGAGGCCAAACTGTTTCATATATTAGTCCAATTGCAATATTCCCAATGCACACATTCCTGAAGATGGCTGTTTGGTGTTGGTGGTTAGTGACCACCGGCTAGGAACCGTAGACACTCAATGTGAAAAAATTTAAAATGCTTTCCAATTGTTGTAGTCTAGTAGTTGTAGTCTACAAAACTTCAAAGAAAACCAGAAAGAAATGTTGTAATCTAGATGTTGTAGTCTGTTGGTGATCTACTGAAAATTCTATTTTTTTGGCTACTATGCTGATCCTCTGACTCCACAGAGCCAGTCAGTGAGCCACAACAAGTATGTTTCAACTCAATATTAAATCCAGAGGATCGTCAGATCTGCCAGAAACTAGCATTTTCAGATGGAAGGAAGCATTGTTAGCTCCTATTTTTCTGTCATTGTCAATATCATTTCATAGGGGTATAAGTAATTGGTAATATCCCAAGCAGTGTGTGTACCTTCACAGTCGGCTGTTTTGAATCCTGTTTGGGGAATGTACTTTAGACAAGTTATATTATCCAACAATTCCCCCAGCCCCCTCTATATTCCCTTTATCAATACAATCTGATATGCTACACACAATCTACCCAAGCAGGTTTGTATTTACCTCTTCCAGAGGCGCCCAGGCCCCCTGCGCCATCTGCTTCCTGGCCAGTCAAATCTAGTGGCGGGCTGCCTGTGCTTGCCCACTAATGTCCCATAGACTTTGCTGCTCCTGCAGAATGGGTGCAGCCTATTCAAGTCTATGGGACCTAGTGTACATAGTGTTTCCTACAGTCTTCAAAAAATTAGATAAAGATTATAGTATGGTTGTCTTGTATTCTCTCCAATAAAGAAGTCATGTATGAATACTAAAGAGACATACAGTTTTTAGACATGAAAGCATTTTCCATGTTTTTAGTACCTTAAAACTATTTTTTTTTTCTCTAGCTGCATCCTGGGCTCTGCTGGCTGGAATTCAACTAGCTTTTGTGTTTATCAAGTTCTTCTAAGAAGATTTGAAATCACCTCTTTGTGGTCAGCCATGGCATATATACTTGTGATATCTTATATTAGTGCTGCGCATATATCTCCATATACTGTACGCAATCTACCGAGTGCATCAAAAAAACATGTAACTTAAATATATACTTGCATATATATATACTTGCAAAAAATATACTTGAATAAATCTTAAGGCAAATAAACTTGATTATTTATTTTTCTGTATTGGACAGAGATATCAGACTCTGTATTTCTGCTCCTTGTATGCTATGTCTTTTCTTTAAAGCGGAACTTCACTCTCTCGGTGATTTGATTATTTGTAATCCTTATGATGCTTGCATTAGTAAATAAATGGAAGGCATACTATATTTACTTGGTCTAAACTTTTGTTTTTTTTACATTTCTTCAGTTACTGTAGTTCCTGGTTTCCATGCTTAGGCAAATTATGTCATATATCCCAGGTGTTGTCAGGAGGGGAAGAGGGGATGAGAGGTTTTCTCAGCTAAGCACACCCTTCTGCCTGCATGAGTTAAGAACAGATGGATTCTAGGAAATAAATACTACATGAATCATCTCAAGATGGCCACAGCCAGAAATTTTACGGGGTGCTTTTCAAAGTGATTTTGCAGCAAAATAAAGCATGGAGACATGGACAAGGATGAAGGGGGGGTGAGATTGCTTTAAATATTAAATTTCAATATTAAACTTTGAATATTACCTGTAGGCTGGGAGGTTCTTACAAATTCAGTTCCTAAAATTCCAACTCTATGATGTAGTGTTATAATATGCAGTTGAATCAGGTGTCTACAAACAACGACAGTATAATAAAGTATATGTACAGTATATATTTTCACTAAATATTTTCATTACACAGAGTCAATGACATCACCTCCTCCCTTTGGTTTCTAATATAGAGCAGGGTTTCTCAACTAGGGCTCCATGGATTGAACCCTAGGGTTCCTCCAAAGGTTGCTTGGGATTGCTTGAGCAATGAGCAATTTCTGTTTCCCAGATAAGTTCCCACTGACACCATTTTTAGCAATCTGTATGGGGTAATGCTACCCAATGACCACAAATGTAAGGAACATTCTTCCCACTGACCATCACACTAATGTCCCACGAGTTGTAGATATAGTCATTTTTAGCAGGGGTTTCCTGAGACCAGACAATTATTTCAAGTGTTCCTCTGTGTTGAAAAAGGTTGAGAAAGGCTGATATATAGTCTGATTTACTAAAACAAATGAAAAACAGCAGGATACATCCTAAAGTATGTTTGGCATCACATATACTCCTGCACACAGATTCATATTCATGATTGTACATTGATGTTGAATGTGTATGGTGTGGCTGTAGTAACGTTGTGCATGTTCAAACATACTGTACAAGTAATGATGCATCTGTGACTTCTGTTCATATAATGTGTGCTACATCTTACCTTTAAATAAGTTAAAACTAAATCAACCAAATCCACATTGCGCTAAAACACCAAAACCGGTATTCTTTACTGTTGTGAGACAAGAGGCAGCATATAAAACTAACTTAAAGATCAATAATTGCTGTCATTATGCATTGGTTAGGTCAGGGTTTTCTCAACTAGGGTTCCTCCAAAAGGTACTAGGGGTTCCTTGAGCAATGAGAAATTTCTGTCTCCCAGATAAGTTCCCACTGACATCATTGATCTTTTTAGCTATCTGTAAGCGGGTAATTCATCCCAGTGACCACAAGTGTAAGGAGCTTTCTTCTCACTGACCATCACACTAATGTATCAGGAGTTATAGACATAGTGAAAATTTGTATCTGAAGTTCCCTGAGACCGGAAAATCTTTTAAGGTTTCCTCTGCATTGAAAAGGTTGAGAAATGCTGATATGGAGTCTGTATTTACTAAAGCCAATGAAAAACAGCAGGGGAAAGTTTAAGAAAGGCTGGGCTAGGCGTACGCTTTTCCTTGATGTTTAGTCAGGAAGGACCAGCAAAATAATTTTCATGTCGCACAATTATATTGGCTGAGGAGGCCAAACTGTTTCATATATTAGTCCAATTGCAATATTCCCAATGCAACACGTTCCTGAAGATGGCTGTTTCAGTGTTGGTGGGTGCTGCAGTGACCACCGGCTAGGAAACGTAGTCACTCAATGTGAAGAAACATAAAATGCTTTCCAATTCACCCAAATTAAAATTAAAAACTTTGACAAAAACCAAAGAGAAATGTTTTAGTCTAGTAGTTGTAGTCTACAAAACTTCAAAGAAAACCAGAGAAAAAATGTTGTAATCTAGATGTTGTAGTTAGAGATGAGCGAAGAAATGAAAAATTCGATTCGACTGATTCGGCGAATTCGTGGACAATATTCGATTCGAGTCGAAATAAATTCGCTGTGAAATTTAACTTAAAAAAGGGTTGTTTCTAGGCTTCAGAGAGACTTAATATTAGTGCAGAACACTGTACCTTTAATTTAAATGCCCTTGAGTCTGCTGGGGAAGAGAAATAATACTGTCAGTCAGTATGACATGCAGATGAGTGCCGTCGATCTTAGAATCACTGCACACTTCACTCATTTGGCCAGTCACGGGGCCAAAACCAGTGTTTGGAGCCAGAGTGTGGCGGTGGAGCCAGCAGCAATGGGAGGCCATACAGCAACCTATGACAAAATGGAAACCAGCAGGAGTGTGAGGAGACCTGAAAGTGGCACATGGCAGAGTGGGAGCAATGGGAGGCGGGTACAGGGGACCCAGGTCACACTGTGGGCCCAGCAGCAGCGTGACCAGGCGGTTGGTGGTTGTTGGGGTGACGAGGGGCCACCTTGGGACGATTTGGGGCCTGGTTGGCTCCTATTGGAAGGCCCTGTAATTCTGTCCAGCAACCTATGACAAAATGGAAAACCGCAGGAG